TTTTTTCTTAAAGTTTTTTATATAATTTTTATTTTTTTACCTATTATATATAAAAAAATTATAGAAAAAATAATCTTTAAATCATTGTTTTAATGTGTTTTTGGGTCAATCGTAATTCGTGTTTTTTATTTTTATTTTGTTTGTGTTGTTTGTTTCAGGGAATGCACCGGGTTGTTCGTCTTCAACCTGTGTCTATAAAATACGATACGGTGACAATTCTTCCTCAATGGGGTTCTTCGGCACAGAACGGCTGACCTTGACGTCGACAGACATTTTCGACAAGTTCCTATTCGGATGTGGCGAAAACAACACAGGGCTTTTTAGGGGCGTAGCCGGGTTACTTGGGCTGGGCCGTGATAAACTATCCTTCCCATCACAAACAGCCCAGAAATACAACAAGGTTTTCTCCTATTGCTTGCCATCCTCCGCCAGCTCCACCGGTTATCTCTCCTTCGGCAACAGCGGCATCTCAAATTCCGTGAAATTCACTCCTTTAGTCACTCTCTCTGGGGGTCCATCATTCTACGGTCTCGGCATCACTGGAATTAGCGTCGGCGGTAAGAGATTGTCTATCTCCGCGTCGGTGTTCATCACGGCAGGCACAATCATCGACTCCGGAACCGTCATCACCCGCCTCCCACCCACGGCGTACTCCGCTCTCAGAACCGCTTTCCGTCAAGGAATGTCCAAGTACCCAATGGGGAAGGAATTTCAGATCCTCGACACGTGTTACGACCTTAGCAGTTACAATTCCGTCAGCATACCCAATATAAGCATTTCCTTCAGTGGCGAGATTGAGGTGGAGATAGCACCAGCCGGAATCTTGTACGTCATCAGCAGGTCACAAGTATGCCTGGCATTCGCCGGAAACAATGTTGACTCGAAAGTGGGTATTTTAGGAAACGTGCAACAGAAAACATTGCAAGTGGTGTACGATGGCCCCAATGAAAGGGTGGGGTTCGCGGCCGGCGGATGTAGCTGAGGAAATTCCGATAAACGAAGAGAATCTTCGAGTTAGTGCCCTTGCATCTTGATAATAATAACAAAAAACTGCTTTGGATCAAAGTTGTGATGTATATGAATAAGATCTGCTTGGTTTCTTTCTTGCAAGTTCCAAACTTAAAATTCGCTCCCATTATTTAAAATAATTATTATTTTTTAACATTTTTTGGAATTAAAAATTTAGGAATAATAATTATATCTATTTATAATATCTAAAAAATAATAATTAAAAATTTGAGATTTTAAATTAAAAATATTCGATTCAGATTTTAATCAAGTGGAGAGAATTTGAAAAAAAAAAGATTATCTCTTCTTATTTAATCTATTATTATTATTTGATGTATCAAAATAATAACTCTAAAATAGAAGTAAAAGATAAAAAGAGATTTTTTATAATTAGATAATTAATTAAAGTAAATAGATAATAATAATACGGTTAAAGTAAGAAAAACATTTTTTATCTTAA